TGTTCGGTGGTGTTGTTCATTTACTTATTTATTTATTCATTCAAACGGGCAAAAAGAAAGAGCCCAATAGTACAACGAAATTAGATAAAGTCGAACAGTGAGAACGCGTAACGCAGTTAATTGCTATTTGTAAGTTTCTTTGAAGTTTGCCTGCAACTGTCCGCAGTGCCAAAGAACAAATCAAGCCTGTCGGCGAGCTTGTTCGCATACGTACAGATCCTTGTGATCGGATCGTTGAATCTTGCATCCGTTGTGAAGGAATCCAGTTTAAATACAGGACTCTTGCGTAAAGGACGAGGGCAGGTGTTGAAGTTGATTAAAGCGTGTAGGGGCTTGTTGAGAGTTACTTGTGGGTAATCTTTTTGGGAAAGATTGTGTAGATTTGGGCATCTCTCAGCAGGCAAACTTAACTTTTTATATTTCTTAGGCAAACGGGGTAGTTTTTGTCCAAGTCTAATTTTTTAGTGTTCTAAGCGTTCAAAATATGTGAAAAAATTGTGGAGTGGTGATTAGAGTCTCTACTATGTTGTACAATTGTTCGTTAAGTCAAATGTTTATGTCTTCTTTGAATAAAAATAAAAATTCGTTGGGTCGTTTCGTAAAAATTCGGAAAATTTCACTTGGGTCATTAATGACCCAAATTTCGAACGCAGAGATAGTTGTATTCTCTGTATAAAACGAGACGAAATTAAATCGGAAGCAATATCGCTGCACTGCAGACAAATTGTCAAAGACGAAAGCTTTGTCAAAAATTGTGAAAGTCGAAATTTTTGGAAAGTGCGAAACGAAAATATTCTGTTTGGAAAGTTACTTAATTACAGAATTATGAAACATACGTCACCTAAAATTTACTGAAGTAAATCTGTGTATTTGAAGATATTCCAAACAATAAAATGGAAATTAAAAGTTTTGGAATATTGGGATTTTGAATTAAAAATTTTGAAATTTTAGGATTTTGAAATAAAAATTTTGGACTTTTAGGATTTTTTATTAAATATTTTGTAATCTTGGGATTTTGAATTAAAAATTTGGGAATTTTAGGATTTTTAAGTAAATATTTCGGAATTTCGGGATTTTGAATTAAAAATTTGAGAACTTTTAAATTTGGAATTAAGAATTTTTTAATTTTGTGTGTTAAATGAGGATATTTGTAGATTAGGTAATTCCGGATATGAATTTCGCAAGAGTTCGCCGTTTCAACTATCAGCTTTGTAAAGTGTGTCTCTTTGTTGGGCGACACTTTTAGAAGCAACAGATGCTTCTTTTAGAAATTGTTTAAACGATGGAGAAAGAGACGTGGGCGTCGGCGTATCCTGGATAAGTCAGGCAATTCTGTGTTCTTTTGTTTGGCTAAAGAGATGTAGAGGTAGGTCAGGAGAAGTTTACTTTCCCGTGCTCCGATCCTTTTTATTATAATACCTCTACAGTGTAATTTCTTTTTTATATTTTCTACACGAAGGTACTAGAAAACAGTGAAACATTTACGAGATATTCCAAATCTCACGGAATTATTTTACAAACTGAAGTGTCGAGTGTTTAATTGCAGAAGATTTAACAGAACGAAGCAAATTATTCCAAGCTACGTATATTAGTGTTCCAGGATTAATCCTGTGTAACCTAATTTTTCTTCGTTCACGAGAAAACAAATTTCGGTTGATTCTGCTTTTTAAATTTTCACGAGAGAAGCAAGAGTAAATACGAAAACATTTAATAATTCTAAATTTCTTGAATTACAATTATCGCAAAAATGTAACGATTATTATTAAAAAATTGATTGGTAATAATGTAACAGTAGAAACTGCGCAAAATGAAATTTATTAAATTACTTTTATTTATGAAAAATTTGAAAAATATGAAAGAATACCAAAGAGTGGAGTTAATTATTTCTAACAATAAATAAATAAAATAAAACTACAAAACATAAATAAAAAGATACGTAACTTCCAAGCCGCGCGACAGCAAATAAATTTTCCCATTTTCTTCATCTCAAAAATAACCAAACTAAATAAAATCTCAATCGACCCACTGATCTCTTAAAAACAAATCACAATTTCACAATCACAAATCACAAAACGTACTATAATGCAAGATCGTTAGAAAAGAAAAAAAGAAAAATTTATCATCCAATTCACCGCAAACATTATTCAAATATTATAACGCCATTCTCAAGCGCGCAATTTCATACGCTGCAACGCAATAGAGCTCCTCCGTTCGATAATCGAGTCTCGTTCGCCAGGATCCACCGAGGCGGCAGGCTTCGCCTGTTAAATATGCATCGTCAAAAATGCCCAGGAATATTCGAAAGTCTCCCGCGCACATTAACGCCTCTTACAGTGGAATTCTTCGATCGAACGGACGCGACGCAGAACCGCAAACGCTTTCGTTCGTCCCGAGGAGCTCCACGTGTCCTGCAGCCGCGAATTTTCCAAGCCGAACGTCGCAGTCCTCGCGTTCGCGCAACGGGAACATAGAAAATAACCCGCTTGTCGCAAATCTGCTCGTCAAAGACTTCGTTTTATTCATTTTAATAGCACTGCCGATATAGATCATAATACGACACAAGTTAAAATTTTTTCTAAATTTTCAAAATGCTTCGTAACAGTCACGAGATTCAAATATTGTGTGAAGTATTTGTTTTTTATCAGTTTACCTAGTTTTCATCAATTTTTCTCGTATCAGAATTGCAGGTTATAATATTTGCAAGAAAAGGAAGAAATATTTTACACACTGGGAATTGTATATTGTTACGCGAGCCAGAGATAAAGGTAGCAAAAGCGTCGGTTTGAAATCGCGCGTAACGCGTATCGGTGTTTCGCTAATTCGATGAATTCGTTTTCAACCGGATCATTGGATCCATTGACTTTCAAATGCACACGGAGGTACGATTAATCCGTGGAAATACGCGATGGCTATTACGAAGAGACGATAAGTGCGTGTGGAATACTCTCGGCGGCTGAAAAAGCGTCGGTAAATTTTATCGAACGAGCTTTGCACTGTCAGAAACTGCCCCGTTACTTGGAGTGAGGAAAAATCTCGTTTCACGTGGAAAAGGAGCAACGAAAAGGAAAAGAAAGTGAAAAGAGCATTTGCACGTTGTCGAGCTCGAACGAGAGCGATGTTTAAACGGATCAGAGAGAGGGCAGATAGTGGCGCGCGTTGATTATCATCAATCGCCGAGTTATTTCCACGGAAGGACGCGGTTTGTTGAAAATTCGCCGCTTCGAGAAGGCTATGAGCTTCCCTATGGGGCCGTAGGCGGTCTTACGAGGCCAAGGACGATGCTACCACATTGTTCCGCGTCTTTAATATGACGCAGATCTGGCTCCTTTTGCCGGGAGCGCTCTAACTATCGCGGTTTACCTTCTGCGTGTTTCCCTTGAAAACAAACGGGAAAATTTGCTTTGCATTGGAAAAGCATCCCGGTGAAAATATACTCGTTTACACGCCGCGTGCTTTCTCGCGTTTTACCAAACTGTATCGAAACACATTTTGGAAGGTTTCACACTGGAAACTACGACGTAAATAAATCACTTGGTCGATCGAAGACTTTTATATTTTTATCGCTTTGTCAACTTTTGTAGAATTCACTTCGGCGTAATTGTCGCTTTGGAACTTCTCGCCTGACCCACATCGATTCCACGTAAACATAAATAGTATTGATGCGTGCCAGTTTCAGAATAAATGTAACGCCTACAGGATTCGTAGCGTTGCCTCGAAATATGCATACCGGGTGTCCTAATCGTTTCCGATCGAACTCTGTGAAACTTCGTCGGCGCGTTCTATGGGTGTAAATGAGGGAAAAATGTTATGTGAACATAGGTCGTTTGAAGCTTCGTTAAAAAGTTTTGACGAAAATAGGAAACACGAACTTCCATTCAGCACTTTCAACAGTCTCGTATAATCTCTCATAAACAGACTACAGATAAATATCGCTAATCTATTCCTATTTTGTATCGAAATAATCGCACACCCGTTAGCGTTCCCTTCGTGTTTCGTATTGTAACTCTTTAACAAAGCCTCAAACGACCTATATTTATACCACATTTTTTTCTCACTTACACTCATAGGACACTCTGACGAAATTTGGTAAAAATGAATTTGGACACCCAGTATATACCTCGATAATAAATCGCGACACGCGGAGGACGCTTCCTCGTTCATCAACGATGTCGACGCAAAGAACTTGCGGCTTATTAAGAGATAGCTAGCTCCTCCTAAGAAAAACCGTCTTGCAAACTTGTTTCAAGTCAACTTTGACAACTTCTTTTAAAATTAGCCCTTTAACCATCGAAGTATGAAAGACACAAAATTAAAAATTTCGTTCTAATTATTTGCAAAATATAATAAAGTAACTCAGTCTCGCACAGAGGATAAATACAGTTCCAAGTACAAGGACTTCCAATTACACGCTCGAACTATCCAGAATCGGAAACTCATCCAGTCCAAGTATAGCATACTCTACCCTCAACAGGTAAACGTTCCCCTAACTCGTCGAGCTTTCCAAGTTCAACCCGATTCGAAGTCTCGCGAGAATCGATTACTGATCAGGATTAAAAATAAAGTCACCCTCCCTGTCCAACGATCACCTCGTCGAACAAGAACACCCGAATACATACCCTCTTAATCGAGCGTCTCCGAAGTCTGGATTCACCGCGGACAGGTCTCGATGCGAAAAATCCCCGTCTAAATAACGCGAACGAAGTCTCCGTGACGGGGCGATTCGCGTATATATACACACAACGTATATAACCGTAACGCGGCCGGTATATCTGTATCTTCAAACACCTGTTAGCAGTGGCTCGTGTGGGCGGCTCGCCACATCGCCTTTAAATTCTCGCCGCGATTAAGTAACGGAAACCCGCTTCCTCTCACGCGTGATCCCACCGAATTCGTAATATCCCGCCGCGTTCGACTACTTCCTCGTACGAAATACCGTATACGGACAAACACACACATGGATAAGTAAAAAGAATTAAAAAAGAAAAAGAAAAACAACTTACCAGCATGTCCCTGGACAGAATAATTCGCCTCCTCGCTAGGTACCACGGTCTCCTCGAGGATACTCTCAGAAGCTGTCTTCACGATCCCCATTATCCTAGTCTGGGGTTGTTCTCGTCCTGTGTTTGTTGTTTCTGATAAATTTCTGACAGGACGTGCAGGAAGAGCTGTTGCACGCTGGAAGTAGATGCGAAGAAGTGAGCTCGTTAGCGATTACCTCGGCTTGATCGTGCCGCGTTGTCTGCCGTAGTCGGAATGCTAGGCGCCGTTTTGCTGACTTACGTTTGCGACTGCGTTCGCGCCTGCGTCCACAGTATTCTCTCCCTTGAGCCCTCTATCCTGCCTCTTCCCTCCTTGACCCTCGACGCGCGTATATCCTACCCCTCTGGTCTTCCTGCCCCTCGAACGCCGCCGGTCCCTTGGCCAGCAACACGTCACGAGTAACGGGGGAACAAGGCGAATCCCTAGGCCAGGGTGAAACACGCAGGCAAGAACGAACGGGGTGGTGGACTAGCTGCTGCCTCGGCACGTCCTGTGTCAGCTGTGGTAGGAGGTTGCTTTCGTACCTCTCTCTCTCTCTCTCTGTCTGTGCGTTGGTTTCTCTTTTGCTGGTTGGACAAGGAGAGAGCGTTCCCGCGCGGCTCAGGCAGGGCGCAGTGAGGTAACATTGAAACGCACAGGGGCAATGTCGACCAACTGGGTCTCGGTGAAGGTCTCGGCTGGCACAGCCACTCGTGCCCGATAATGCATCCTTTTCTTCTTCCCTCTCGACGTTTTTTCCCTTTCGATCTCGGCGCGAGCTGGCTCACAGGTACCCTCTCGGTTTCCGTGGATACTTCAGGGTTCAACTGTAGGTTCGGGTGCCTTTTTTTGGGGGGTTTGGGATGGATTTTTTTTGGGGCTTGGGTGTGATTGAGAGGCAGTTTTTAGGTTTGGTTTCGAGTAATTGATGGTTTGGGTGTTCTTGAATTTTTGTTTGACACTTATGTCAATAATTGGGTACTCGGGTACACTTTCGCACATTTTCTTAAGAGATTAGGTTGTTATTTCGCGGAATTTCTCTCCGTGTTTGCATTAAGTTTAGAATTTTGTTATTAGAAAGCTTCGAAAACTGGAGGGAAAAGTGGATGAAATTTGTTAATTGAGAGGTGTGTTTGAAGAGGTTGAAAGATTGGTTAGGATGAGGTTTACTATCGAATCTTTTGAGCTGATATTGGCGGTTTTTGTATTTTGAAATTTTGGTTTAAGCCTTGTGTCAATAATTGAGTACACTTTGCACATTTTCTTAAAAAATTTTATGCTAGATCGTTGTTATTTCGCAGAATTCTTATCTGCGTTTGCTTCAAGTTTAGAATATTTTTATTAGAAAACTACTAAAATTGGAGGGAATCTTGTAGACGAAATTTATGGTCATTGACATAAGTGTTAATTGAGAATTGTCTTCAGGATGTAGTTTACTACCAAAACTACCATAAAAATTGGAATATTTTACACCGAAACTTTGATTAACAGAAACACAATTTCAATGTTCTCAAGATCAAGGATGATAAAGAAAGGACGTTCAGAATTTATCTTAATTCCTTCCTTCCAAGTGTTAAGCAGCATCCTCGTGTTCTCGGATTATTCGCTAATCCCTCGCAACAAGAATAGACACAAGGATAGGATAATTAACCTATTTCTACTCCAACCCACGTCCACAGTATCATCTCCACTTTTTCCATCCCAACCATAATCACAACTACATACCTCTACAACTTCCACCAAACTATTGTAAAATTAAATTTCTACAAAATTCCTCACCCGAACTATCTCCCTCCAATCTAAACCCACCCAAGAAAATCTCCATATCCCAGTAATTACCAAAAAAAATCTCGAATCTCGATGTCAAGTTCGAATTACCACGGATTGGACAGGAAAAGTAAGAAAACCTTGATGGAAGGAATACAGTAAATTCTCCACAAGTGTCAGTCCTCAAGGAACTTAAACCTGACACTTGTAGAGTCAGGGACTACGTTTTCGAGCCTCGCGCCCGCCTTTGTAGTTTGCCGAACGTAGACAAGGACAGCGAATAAAAGATAAGGACGAAACGTCAGTCGAGGTAACCAAGCGATTTAAATACCAACTTTTTTAATCTTACGTCTTTTTATCCCGAAATTTTTCTTCAAACACGACATAATTTGAACAACATTTACTTATTAACACGTTCACTGTCACGCCAGATATTTCACTGTGTTGAGATAAAACAGACGCCCTGTATTACATTCCATAGAGTCGGCCTACCGTTTGACTACCAGTTGGAGAATTGGCCTGCCGTTTGACTGACACTTGTAGAATCGGCCCTACATTATTTTTTTGCGTGGAGGTAGTCCGACATTAAATTAATTACTCAATAAGTATTAATAAGTAAATGTTATTCAAATTATATCATGTTTGATCTCATTTTCATCAGAAAAATCTCACCAAATCTCACCAACATGTTAAAACAAATTTCAGATGAAAAAAAGTAAAATTAAAGAAATTATATTTTTCTATTATGATTTGTCGAGCCGTGAAATCTCGTAAAAGAAACCGAGTGGTGTAGCGTTACACGCTTGACTGACAGCGAGCGAGATAACATAGGCGCAGCAATGACGCAGACCTAGGCGTAGGACCATCTATACTGACACTTGTAGAATCCAAACTGACTGACACTTGTAGAGAATTTACTGTAGTTGGGTGACTCAAGGGACGACTTAATTCGTCTCCTCCACTTAACAGATTAACCTTTCCTCTCTCCACTGACACGCTGTTTATCAGTACTTTTACCGTTCCGTGTTTTACAGAAGGTATACCTGCAGTTTACGATGCAGAGTGTGTGTAAAACGGGTGGGGTGAACCATCGACGTGGGGATGTTTCACCTGTGTAATCCTGTTCGTAAACAATACGCTTTCCCTCCCCGACGGAACGAGGCAGGGTTATCGGATTTGACGCGTTCACAGCACGTGCACGCCCTTGAAACACGCGTATATATCCTCGCGGGTGCATGAACCACGCGCAGTAACCCTTAATTACTACGTTTCGTTCCCTGTAATTTTATCCTTCGAGTGAAATCGTCACACTGGGCTGTCTTTCTACTGCGACGCGTTGGAAAATCAATTTTTTTCTTTTTTTGCATCTTTTTGTAGTTTCAGGAAGAAGTTTTTAGTCTAAGAAGCTTTGAAGCTGAATTCTGAAAATGAGGAGGGATGTATGCTTTGAAAGGAAGCGGTTTTGTGTAGACTTGAATTGTAGTTGAAACTGGCTGATATGATTAGCGAGAAACCGGAAGTCGCATTCACTGGAAATTTGGAAGGTGTATACAGTAGACGTTGCTTTATCGTCTGCAGAAGAATTGTGCGGATATTTTCAAAATTCAGCCTCTGCGGTCGAAGAAACCATAACTTTTCCTGAAATCGAAAGTAATTTCTTTCGAAACCTTGCAATTTCTCCGTTTCTCGATATTTTTTTATTATACTAGTTCGGACGATAGCTACAGGTCTGCAGATTAAGAACGTGTTTACATTTTGTGTTTTGCATAAGTAGAACGTCTGATATCGAGTCAGCCATCGCTAAGGATACTTCTCAAGGCGCTCTCTTCGCAGTGCTCCTATTTTACAACAAATGGATATTTTCACTAGTAAAAAATATTTTTGTACTCTCAAAAGATGACGGAATAACCAGAAAAATTTGCAGAAGGATACGTACAGCACTTGCTTCGCTATAAATTTCCGGAAAATTAAGCTTTTGTCAGTGGTCACATTAGGTAGATCCCTTTAAACCGAACTTCGTTCTTGAAAAGTTTCGTCCTTTCTGTTCACGGGCCTTACGTAGCGCGATCCTAAAATTGTATTTTACGTAAGATAGCACGAAGTGTAGTATGTCATGTAACGGGGTAAGATCGAGAGGAATTTACGAGCTTTCGTGGGTATCGCGAATTTTTTGCCTCGTTCCTAGCGGAGAACAACTAACCGTGAAGAATTCCTTAATAGCTGGTCGAGAATAGCTCTTCAAGGATAACACGAGACACCGGGTGGATTTATTAATCGAGATATTTCTCGCGAGGCTCGACCCCCCGTCTCTCTTTGCTCGTCCTTTCTGTTTTTTTTTTTTTTTCTTACTCTTGCTTCTCGAAAATCCCTCGACAGTGGCCGTCGTCGATCCCAAGCATTCCGTCATCATTATCTGTCGCTCTCTCATTGAATTTCTTCTGCGGCAGTCACGTGGCGCGAGGACGCGCGCCCTCCTTTCGAACCGACCTCACGCGGGACTTGTTGCACGCAACGGAGCTGCGGAGGAGCGGTGTTTTTACGATGTTTTGATTAGAGGTCTTGCTATCTGGATATCTGAGTAATTGAAATATTCGTTATAATCCGAATTTGATGTCTGAGACTGATTGAAATCTGGGATTTTCTTTGTTAATTACTCAGATACGAAGCTTCTCTTCATATCGGTAGATTGAAGGAAGCTAGTTTAGGTGACGGATTAAAAGGATGCGAGAATTATTCGATAGACTCATCGCGAGGAGAATCCAAGGATATCGAAATCCAAATCACGCGAGTATTGGATATTCGGATTTTCGGATCTGAATTAAGTATTGGATGATTGTAAATGTTCGTGCCCGGTTCTCGGCACAGATGTTTCCTTTAGCGTCATGTTACATTCCTATCGAAAGATACACCGCTTGTGTTTTACTTTCAAATAATTATTCATTTCATTTCCAAATGAAATGTGCCTTTGCGCATACCCTTCGTGTTTTATTTTCAAATCGGACACGAACCTTTGCAATCATCCAATACTTAACTATCCGAGTGCTCGGATTCTCAAAGTTTCATGCTGAAAGCGAAAAATATTTTAACGAAAAACCAAGAAAATTCTATAACGACAACATAATAGTCTTATAAAAAAAAAAAAAAAAAAAATAGAAATAAGTTGTAGAACGAGAAGGCGTTTACGTTTTTTCTTTTTTCTTATCGAATTTAAAGGTTGGAAATATTGATCTAAATTATAAAATTCGATACGAACTTACGAGATGACCTAATACATACATTACAGAATAAAGAAATTATTGTTCTAA